GGAAGCGGATCCAATGGCAGTGGTGATAATCAAGGTTCAGGAAGCGAATCCAATGGCAGTGGTGCTAACCAAGGTTCGGGAAACAGTTCCAATGGCAATGGTGCTAACCAAGGTTCAGGATCCAATGGCAGTGGTGTAAATAAGAAACGCGGTGGTAACCAAGGCTCAGGAAACGGATCCAATGGCAAACAAAGTTCAGGAAACGAATCCAATGGTGCGAATAAGAAATGTGCTGGTGCAAAATTCAGGAAGTAAATCCAATTGAAATTTTTATAAAAAGGACACTTTTTTTTACAAACATTATATCTGAAAGTGGTTAATGCTAAAAGGTTATATTTAAAAGTGGGTAAAACTTATGTAAATAAAATTAGTAAATTTAGATAGGTTAGATAGGTTATATTTGAAATTTTGATAACAAAATAATAATAATAATAATAATAATAATTTTTTTGCAAATAATTATATCGAATTGTAGTCTATATTGCAATATATTTTAAGCTTTACGGTGGTTTAAGTAATAAATTTTACTGTACCAAGTGGATAAACGTAATTAGCATTTTCTAAATTGATAAAATACGAAGCGTAAGAGCTCTTCGAATCCTAAAGTATATACTGTATCTCGTGAATCGGGCGCCCCTGATGGCAGAATTAGGGACTTGGTTAGTATTAGGGTTAATAATTAGTGCTCCGAACGGGTCGGGTTAAAAATTTTCGGGTTAGAGCCTCAACACGAACCGAACCCGAAATTTTAGGCTAATATATTAAATTTTTTTTAAAGAATGAATTTAATCGCCCTACTTGCTCTTAAACGTTTAATAATTCATGGCCAATCAAATCTAAGCGCGGTATGCTCATAAACTCAGCGGGCTACTACAGCAAGAATCGTGCATTGCATATTTAGAATCAATGATAGTTTTTTTATTTTTTTCCTATGGATTTATGGAATTAATATAAAAAAAGTTTACTGATTTTGCTGTGAAAAATTTGTTCGAGTTAAAAAGAATTTAGGCGAATATTAAAACAAAGTCAGCAGTTAAGTTTTTCCAACTTAGATAGGTAATTGCTGAG